TTTCTTTGACCTTGTTTGGTTTATTTGCTTTGATTCTGGATGGTACTGCTTGTCTGTGTGTCTACATACCAATAGCATAACTTCATTGAGTGAATATACATGAAATGCCTCTGCCTAGAGCATGGTGTTAAGAGATCCAGTAGAGAACTGATATGGATCCTGTCCCATGGTATTAAACTAAAGAAAACTTATACATAATTAGAATTTAGTAGATAGTTAAAAGTGATGAGCAGAGTTAGTGCAATGGATGTTTGGAAGAAGAAGAGAGAATTTCTGGCCTGAGGGAAATTAAAAGACAGGCTTTAGAAGAGATAGCACTTGACTAAGAAATCCCACTGGGCATCATGGAACCACTTAAGACTTTTGAGCTGGGAAGTAAAATATTGGTTACTGTGATGGCAAGGAGCAAGCTGGGTTGGAGGAGGCCATGCCTGCAGGCAGAGAGAGATCTGTAGGCTGACCACTGCAAAAGGAACAAAACTTGTATCACAAGGAAATGTGCTTGGCAGACCTCATAACTGACAGAGCTATGTGCAAGTAGGAAGCATGGGATCGAGAAGCAACATAGATGTCCCAGAGTGTCTAGCCTGGGTGGCTGGGAGGAATGTCGTGTTCTGAACACTAACAGTGATCACCGTTTTCAGGGGAAGATAATGAACTATCTGGACACATTGAGCTTGACAAAGCTAGAACATGTCCAGCTGTCAGGAAGTCAGCAATGAGGCTCTGCAGCTCAGGAGAAGAGGCAAGATGTTATTAGAGACTCACAGAAAGGGATCCTTAACACTATGAGAAGGACTTGTTGTGGTTCATTTCCATTATAAAAGGAACCCAGAACTCCACAAATTAGGCTCTTATAGAGTTAGTTCTTTTTTTCGTATATTTTTTTTATTGGAGTTCGATTTGCCAACATATAGCATAATACCCAGTGCTCATCCCATCAAGTGCCCCCCTCAGTGCCCATCACCCAGTCACCCCATTCCCCCACCCACCTCCCCTTCCACTATCCCTTGTTTGTTTCCCAGAGTTAGGAGTCTATTAGGAATTTTCTTGGAGAGAGAGATTTACTAAACAGTATGAGTCTGAATAGGGATTGATCTTAAAGCCATTTAAAGTCAAGGATATTGTTCTAAAGTAGCTTCTGAGGTTATTTCAGAACAGATTCCATAATCTTTAAGTGACACCTGGGATTTGAGGTGATGGCCTCATTTCATCCATTTATATCATATTTTTAAATGTTCCTGTCTTATACTTTCCCAGGTTCGTATTTTGTCTTGCATGACTATTCTAATTCCTGTGATTATACATTGTGCAAAACTCAGAAAACAGAAAAATGTAAAAATACAAAGGCAAACACCAGGAACTAACAACTGTCTTTGGTCTTTTCCTAACATATTTCTGTGTACATATGTATGTGTAAATATATATAAATAAATATATGTATTTATAAGCATAAAATATGCAAATAAATGTACATATAAATAAATATATAAATATATATGTATTGACACAGACACATGTATATGAACAATGAAAATGATTATGTAGATTAATGAATACATGAAGTTTCTTAGTATTGTGGCTCACATAGCATGTGAAATACTTTGCATTGAGTTTTTTTCACTTGACATTACATTTGAAAATTTTTATGTCATTAAAAATGGTTCAAAAGGCTTCATGTTTATGACCACATAATATTTCATTACATGAGCCTATCTTAACATTGAGGCATTCTCCTACAGGTGTGTACTGTGAGAGAATGAGGTACTGTCTTTTTTCTCCTTACAGCACTTGAGTCCAGAATGACCTCATCCTCATCTCTCATTTTCTCCCCACAATCTCTGATGTTGGGGAGTCCAATGGAGTCTGGTCACTGCCCAGTATAAGAAGTACATTAAGTGATCAGAATAGTTAAGGCAATGGAGAATGGGTGGTTTTACCCCAAACCAACTTTTTTTTTTACATCTTCCCTTGTGATCATTTTTTTAAATTATTTTTGCCTCCTTCACCACTCCCCACGTCATGTCTGAATGCATGCATAGGCACATACACACATACACAGAGACACACACAAACCAGGGCCTAACCATGGGAAGAGCTTCTTAAAGTGCCTAAATGGCATCCTTTTCATCATTCTTCAATATGTACATTTTCCCTAAGAAAAAGACCAAGTGTCTTAAAGGTGTAAGCAATTGGAAGTTACACTTAGGCCAGAGTGCCTACCCTCCTGTGACAGTGTGGTGAAAGACCAGGGCCATGGCATGAACCCCTAGAGAGAGCAGAGCTCATGTACATGAGCATGCATTAATAAGACTGGACAGAGCACCATTGTTTTGATATCTCTGTTTTCACAGGTGCCATAAATGATTTTATGAGTCTTCACCATGACCCATGCCATAGAAAGACAAATATAGCTATAGTTTTGCTGAATCCAGGTTTAGAGATCCTTGTGCAAACAAAAACACAATTTCAAAATCAGTCCAAAGCAAAGCCCAACATCTTGAACTGTATACACCCCCTGTTATTCTCCTTCTTCTCTTCTAGCCTGTTTTCTTCAATATCAGTACCTCCATTTTAAATATCATCAGCTGATAAATCAATTGGCAGATATCCACAACAATTCATTCTAAGATGGAGGATAACAAATCATAGTATAACATTTTTCAGAAGAGAAGATAAACTATTTTTTATTTAGAAGGTGGTGTTAAAAAAAAAAAGGTGGTGTAGGCATGAGTAAAAATACTAGGGTTAGCTCAGATATAACTGCAAAGTCAATTTCAATGATTCGATGTATATCCAAAGTTACTAGAAGAACTTTGGAAGTTTGAATTCTTTAAAAATATAGCTCTTTTTAAAAAGAAGATTCCCGTGGAACACCTAGGTGGCTCAGTGGTTGAGCGTCTCCCTTCAGCTCAGGGTGTGATCCCAGGGTCCTGAGATTGAGTCCCACATCAGGCTCCCCACAGGTAGCCTGCTTCTCCCTCTGCTTATGTCTCTGCCTCTTCCTCTGTCTCTCATGAATAAATAAATCATTAAAAAATAAAATTTAAAAATTCTCTTAATTACTAGACATAAGAATTATTGGAAAGAGATCATATGATTATAATAAAAGACAGGATCAGTCTTTCACATTCAGTTTTTCTGTCAGAAGAAGGCAAGAAAGAAGAGGAAGTTTCTTTTCCAACTTGAAAAAACAGGGAGAAAAATTTAATGTTAGGATTCACTCCATTTTTCTGTTAGAGCTGTGGAGTTCTGACCCTCCCCAAAAGGCAGCATCCAGTTTCACGAATATTGTTATTTTAGGATAATACACATCCATATTCAGTGAAAACTTAGCCATGCAAATGAGTATGAAAACTTTAATCATATAGATAAATATAGAGCATTTAGTCATGTAAGATAAACAAGTAAATTAGTACGCCAATGATTGTCTCTCCTGGGAACAAATCTTTCAGAGCTTTGTTTCCCATTTTCTTTTAAAGTTAACTTCTCTCGTGTATCCTCTTACCTTTCAATAATTTCTTCAGAAACTACCTTCTTTATCACTCCCTCTTTCCTCCTTATTAATGATGATCTATAATCAGTGCTGCTTTTTATCTGATCCATAGTATACCAAGCTCACCCATTTTACCTGAAAGTTTTGATTTGCTAGCCATCTAAACGGAATGCATTATGTCCTCCTGTATCAGAGAATGAGATTAAAACTGAAGCCTTAATGTATTTATTTAAATATAAATATCAGCATTTATATTGAATGTGGATATATAAATATACACTCATCTATCTATCCCAGGGATACATAGAGAATAAATGAGTTCCTTCAGTATTCAAAAGAGAGACTTGCTATCATTTGTCAGTTGCAGAATAAGTATCTTCTGCTCAGGCCCTCCCATATTCTGTCCTGGGGCGACAGCTGTGTATCAAGCTTTCTCTGTCTCCCACTCTTGATGGAGAGTCTATTACACTAGCCCTTTTATCTGAGACCAATTATTCATAAATCTTCCACAAGCCAGGGGACTGTGCAAGAAAATCTTGCCAATTGGAAGCTTTAGTTGAAATCAGTGGGGTAGATTTAGTGTAGTTTGTTAGAGTCTGTAAGGCCTCTGGGGACTTTCAAATAGCCTATAATATCATTTCTTATGTATCCTTTAGCCATATGGCCTATAATGTCATTTCTTATGGCTCCTCTAGGCTCTATCTCTGAGTCTCACATGTTTCCCAGGGCACTAGGAACACCAACAACAGGGCACTAGTACACCAACAACAGTCATGGCCATCACAACCACCACTGTAATAGCAGTTAACACAATATTACATTTTTATGACCACAAAAACAATTTTTTGTATTTTTTAATCTATTTTAACTGCTCTACCTTTATTTTGGTAGGAAACTTGCTTTTGTTGCTAGTTGCCTACTATATCTGCTAGTTCTCCCTCCCTTTAAAACAATAGTTCAGTGACTGCTTTCCAGATACAAACTAAAATCTTTAAAGATGCCAAGAGAAGAAACCTATTTGCTAAGGCACGTTACAGAGTTGTGTCAATTCCCAGGTACATACTCTTAATACATAGCTCTCTCTTTCATCAGGAGTGAGACAGTAACTGTAATTGCTTGCTAAGCATCTGGAAGGAACATTAATAATGATGATAATAATGACCTCATAGGATGTATAATTTGGTGGATTAAAGAACATTTACAAGCTTATTGTGTCATAGTTAATGATGAAGTGCCAAGTTTTCTTGCCACCACCCTTTCCAGTGGTATTTCCTGCTTGGATCAGAGAACTAATTATAGTAAACGGTGCCCTTGCGAAGAACTTGCCCCATCCTCAAGTTTACCCTAGTATAAAGATACTGAACTGTTTTAGTGTTGTTTTCAGAGACAATTTATTAATGTTGTTTTGCATTTGTCTAACAAAATTTGTATAATGTAATCATTTAGTGTTTATTTTATTGTGTGTACCTTCTACTCAGAGGGTTGGCATTATTGTTCCTAACAGTGACGGATACAAGCAGATCATGCCTTATGACCTCTACCATCCCCTTCCTCGGTACGTAAATCAACCATCCTGATGCTAGAATTAGTAAATCAGCCTTCTGCTTCTTATATATATATATATATGTAGATATAGATTGTGTATTTTTCTGTAACAGTAAGATGGTAGACAGTATATTTTGCAACCCATCCTGAGCTCTGCTTTTGAATAATACTGGACTGCTCAGACTGTAAGTTTGTCATTCAAAAACCACTTTAAGATAGGATCCTATTACACTGAAGAAGAGGATGCAGTAATTCACTCTGATTAGATACAGTGTATGGGTTATGTTGTGTCTTTCTTTCACTCCCTTTGTCCTTTTGTTTCTCTGCAATTGGACTCTAATCATTAAAGCCCTGTTGCTAACTGTTAAGCAAACGCTGCCTGAAGTACTATCGCAGTACTGCAAATGTGGGATTCCAGATGTGGTATTACTCGGCATAGGGGCTTCAGATATCTTCTTTGTGTTCCAAAGAAATTATAATTTGTACAAATGTACAAAAAGGCAATGCTTTCCTATCCTTATTGTCCCTATAATTGTTCAGGGACTTTTTTTTCCCCAAAACATCAAATTCCATATACTGTGTTGCTTTTGTAAAGTACAGTCTTTTTTTTTAACTAGAAAAAAAAATGAAAGTGACAGATGAACTTTTAAAAAAACTTGTTCCCTTTATTAATATATTCATAAGAAAACTGGAGAGGCTGAAAAATACTCTAGCTACTAAGTGTATGGTCTGCCACATTGAAAACAGCTCCTCAGACAGCAGAAAGTAGAATCGGGCTTGACTAGGAGAGGACTCTGCTCTGTCCTCTTTGCTCACTTGGACTCTAGGGCATCAGCTGCTATTTAGAACCTAGAGTTTCAATCAGATCACAAATGGTGTGAATAATCCATGGTAGTTTTCTGAATCTCAAACCAAAAAAAATCCCAGAAAATAATTTTATTCTGAACTGCAAAATAAAACAAAGTTTGATGGAAAAATCTCCAAATACTTCATGAAATGGAATCCAAATAGAAGCCCTTGAGGTCACTGAGTTCAGTTCCCAGAGATGCTTCCCTGTCCTATTCCTTCCCAGCCATCACACCCATACGCCCTACAATTATACACATATGTATTTACACAAACATGCATATATGTGTATTTAGTGCATATGTCTTCCCACATGGGTGTACACATAGACAGATATTTAGACAATACATGTACACCAGTGCAAGCTGTCACCCAGCCTCTACGTAAATAATTCCATTGACTGGTAGAGAATTTGCTTTTCACCATGCCAATGGTAGCATGTAGAGAGGGGCATTGGATTTATATTCCATATAGCTGTTTAAGGGTTTTTTTTTTAAGTTCTTCCACTATGGGATTACCTCATTAGTCAGCTCCCTCCCACTTTTCTATGACTATATTGATAAAGATGATAAATGACTTTAGAATGCTACTGATATATCATTTGATCCAGAACCAAACTTATATAATAAATTCTTCTTAAAAATGGAATGAAAATATAAAAAGATTAAATTAACTGAACCAAGATTTCATTCAATTTCAGTTTCTGTATCTGTAAAATAAGTATCCATAGGACACACACATCTGTTTGTGTGAAGGCCATATATTTTACAATAAAAGCAAAGTTGGGTGTCAGGGCTGAGCAACTCAAGTTTATGTTTTTCTTGTAATAGTACTCCTAAGTTTCTTTCATATCTATGATCTCTCTTGTTTATATTTCTCTGGTATGACTAATGCCTGTCTTAGGATAAACTTCATTTATTATATATTCTAATTTCCCTCAAATGCCAGAAGCCCCGTTTTCTCAAAGGCAGATTGAAATAAGCCTCCTTAATGTTATCCCATATACACATTGGCGTTGGCCTGTCCATGCATGACGATGGAAAAGGACAATCACAAATAAATAGACTACATTTCATCCTCCTTACACTTCTGTTACTGAGCTAATTCTAAAGTTAAAGATTCTGCTTACTTGATAAAGTCTTAGTATGAAAGCGATTTCTACAAATATGTTTTTACAAGAATTGAATCTCAAAAATGACCCATAGTTAAGAACTGAGGCTCAAAATGATTCTCAGATGGCAGCTACATTCTGATCAAGGAAGAAGGCTTTACATATTGAAATTATTTCAATAGGCTTTAGACCATAAGTGTAGATACAAAGCACAGTTAATGAATTTTTAGATTATTTTTCTTGCTTTCAGTCTCAGACTGGAACACATACCTGAACCTAATATAAGAATGTCATCTGATGAATTATCTTTAATTCATAATTAATTTATACAAATTTTCCACATCACTCTTAATTTTGACAATCTCTTAAATACTGCGTGTTTAAAATTTTTTAATTTAAAAATTTAAATTTAAAAAATGAAAAGCCATCAGAGTTAAAATATATGCTATATGAACTCATTTTTTATTCTTCCAAGGAAAGGATTCTTGGATATGTTTTTTTTTCCCCCTAAGCACTTACCTGGTCCCTGTTTTAAGATATTCTAACTGATGCTTTTTTCTCAGCTTTTATTATACTTTCTTTAAAGCATTCAGACATATTTTGCCTTGAAATTCCACATAACCCTATTATTATGTCAAGATTCACACAATAATTTTTCACATATAGAACTATAGTGGTATGATGGGCCCATACTATAAATTCTTAGAATAATATTAGCATCATTTGTCTTTCTGTGATCACTGACATTGAAAAGGATACTTATTACTGTTTGTCAAATTATACCACGGGTCATGACCAAGTGTTGAGACAGAAATTAATCATTCTTTCTTTAGAAGGGTCAAGTTTAGGGACATTAGAGTACCAATTAGAAAGTGTGCTCTTTTTATAGCATCTTAACGTTCTAAGAGATTAAATATACATTCAGAAACATATTCCCACTTCACTGTCAGATCAAATCTAATGTGAATATGTACTTAACATATTCAGCCCAATTTCAATTCTGAATCAGACCCCTTATCCATATCCAGAGGGAAGCTCTCCAGAGATTTACATGGAGATAAATGAGAATTGGTCTTACCCTTTTGGAAGAGAGACCCTCAACAGAGCTACTTCGTTCTCTTGAAAGGGATCATAAAGTCTCCTACGGGCTAAACAGAAAAACCTCAGTTTCCCCATAATACCATTTTCTTTTGCATCTCCTGGGGAAACATGCATAGGAAAATATTGTACTTGGCAGCATGTTTAGGCTGTTGGCAGTAGAGATAACAATTGTTGCCTAGACTCAAACAGTGCAGAGAAAATGTGGAGGGAAATCCTCTGTTAACTGGGAAATACACATTATCCAGCCTCATGCAGAAGAGAAGTCAGGTTCCCAATGTACATAAAATCCTACTTATAGAATAATTGATGTCTCCACAGTATGCCTATGCAATATTTTTACATTTAACTTTCAAGTAGATCGACTTGGTGACATTTTGTTTATCTCTCATTAAAATTATATCTCTCCTAATTCTAAGAGAAATCTTAAAGTTTCTTAGCAATTCTCATCAACAAGCAGAATATATGCAAGAAAGACAAGCTTGGTCTGAATGTTTCAGTTTTTAAAAATTCTGCATTCTCTAAATCAGCAGAAGGAGAAAAGAGAATCAGGCAAAGATCTTTCTCTACATCCGGTTCCCAATGCTTCAGAGCTGTGTAGGGATCTAAAAAATCAATGGAATTCTCTTAAATGTTATTGATAATATTGTAATTTTTTCCCTTACTTAATCCTGTCTTTAGATTCCAATGCCATCAGCCTTCCAACCTGAACCAAACTTTCTTCCCAATTCCAACAGTGCTTTATTTGGAGAATGCTAACTGCCAGTAACCCTCATCCGATAGGGAAAAAGAAGATAATGCCTCACATTTTTACTTCTGCTGCTTAGTGTAATGATGGCATAGTTTGAACATCAGAGTTATGCTAAATCTGTATAGTCCCAAATTGTGCTGAATCCACTATAGAAGCAAGGAAGAGGGAGTATTTGACTTACTTTGATCTATCTTGAGCTTCTCATATTAAAGTATCTAGAAGCTAAGTAATAAAGTATTGAATTGAAAATAGGAAATACCAGCCTAGGTGCAAACTATTAGTGTTAACTGAGTAACCAGTTTTAGTCTTGACAAAGATATTTAATGGGATTTAGTAAGTATATATGACATATATATGCAGAATATATATTTATGAAATATAAAGTAACAAATATTATACAGAGAATACATATTCAAACTATAGGGAGAAGGACTGAACAGTCCCTCTTCTGAGTAGGTTACAGACAGCATGGATAGCCCTGTGGACAGGTCTCAAAACAGTAATTTCTTACATTTGTGTAGAGCTTCAGGGTTTACAGAGAACTTTTGCCAACACTGAACACTTTACTGTTGCTCATCAGATTTTAGGCATTAGGTGGCTTTCGGATCTCTTGGCCAGAACCTCTCAGAACCTGATTACCCCAATAGGCACTGGGAATGGGGTTGGTCGGAAAGGTCACTGAGGAGGTTTGGCAATGTGCATGTCCGCCCTGATGACTCCCCTTGCTTCTGTAGGTGGGAGGCCACCCCGTGGACCGCGTGCTCCTCCTCGTGTGGGGGGGGCATCCAGAGCCGGGCAGTTTCCTGTGTGGAGGAGGACATCCAGGGGCATGTCACCTCAGTGGAAGAGTGGAAATGCATGTACACCCCTAAGATGCCCATCGTGCAGCCCTGCAACATTTTTGACTGTCCTAAATGGCTGGCACAGGAGTGGTCTCCGGTAACTGTGCCCTCTTTCTTTGTTCGTTAGGAGAGTAAGTCCACTCTTCCCTCTCATCATCATGACCCCACCAGCTACTCTGTGCAGCTCCCCACTTATCTTGAGGTGTCTAGAAGCCTACCAGTTTAGCTTCTGACGTAGGCTTGCCCCAAAAACAGCATAGCCAAAAGTAAATGAGTAAATATATATAACTTATTCAAGTTACTTCAAGAAGCCTCTATCACTTATGACATTCCTTCAAGTGGCAGAGAGAGGCAAATGACTGATCCTGAATCTCTAGAAGATGCTCTGATGATAGACCACAGTTTGGTTTTATTTTTTATTTCTTATACTTTGTCTATATCCAAAAAGGGTCTGAGCATATTTAAATTAGAACTGTATGTACTATTTATTGAAAAAAAAAAGATGAAATGGAAATGACTAAATAATTAGAATGGGATAAAGCAGGATAATTAAAACCCAGAACATTCCAGAATGATAGGGAAACTTGCAGCAGCTTAAATAAGATGATATTTGGGGTTTCCGACTGCTAATGCAAAAGGTTTGAAATGGCAAGAGATAGAAAGTTGAGGAGGCAAACCACTGTGCTCTGAGCAAGAGATGGCAAGACTTCTCCCTTCACTATAAGGCTTTGAGGTAGCAGGATCAGAGCTGTGATGTTTCTGACTAGACTTATGCTCCCTGGCGTGTCTAGAAGCACTGGAGGTGCCATCTGCATCTGGCCTTTGGATCAACTAACTCCATGAAACATTTTTGACCATGTCAGTATAATCAATTGGATCAGCCATGCTGCAATATAAATTCAAAATAGCAATTTGCAAAATGTTAATGTCCAATGTGGGAGCTAGCAAGGTGACTAAATAAAATTAAAATCCAATGTTAGTAATCAAAATTGAGCACATTCTACAGTTTCTTTTCTCCTTCTTTTCACTGCTTGGTTTGGGACTTGGCACACAGTGGGTGCTTAAGGGATGCTGCCTAACTAATCTAAATCTAAGAAATTGAAAGCGATTTAATTTTCAGCCAGCTTCACCCTAAATAGCCAAATAGAACAAAGACTCTATGAATGGTAAGAAATGGTACAAATCTACTGGGAGTCCTTATATAGAAACAGCCCTTTAAAGAGTCTCAGGTGAGAAACAAGGCAAAGTAAACAAGGCTTTGCTATGAGTCTCTTCTTTCTTGCATTCTCCTTCCAGTGCACGGTGACATGTGGCCAGGGCCTCAGGTATCGGGTGGTCCTCTGCATCGACCATCGCGGAATGCACACAGGAGGTTGTAGCCCCAAAACCAAGCCCCACATTAAAGAGGAATGCGTCATACCCACTCCCTGCTATAAACCCAAAGGTAACTCAACAGGTGCTCTGTCACCAGTCTTTTCATTGTTCTGTGTCTTTGAAAACCATTTGAAACTCCTTGGAATATTTTTAAGTATCCCGAGTGTTCCTAGTATCTATTTTGTGTAGCTTAGACTCTACGAAATGGGCTTAACTCTTTCAAAAAATCTTTCAAATCATTTTGCTTGCAAATTGTTATTAAGTACTACATATATCATAAAGCTGTTTGAAGACTGTTGCTGAAAAGTATCAGCTACATCTGTTTAAAAGGAGTTATCATACAGATATCAGAGAAATACATGTGTGATATACTAGCCACATTTCTTGCTGTTAAAAATAAGGTGGTGAATTTAATGTCTACTTTGTGAAGCATCAAATATATTATGAGGCTTCATACTTCAAATTGTTGAAACAGAAAGGTGTTGCTGCTTATACTGAAAATTAAAATATGAATATGAGACTAGATTCTGGAATCATAATTTGAAATGAAAGTCTGGAATGAATCAGGATTTAACAGATACTATAAATAATTTATAAAAAGCAAATTTTAGAAAAATTCTACTTAGTGAGCAAGATTTATTATTTATTACCTATTATAATTTCTCGGATTGGCATGCATGACTAATTGGACTTCTTTGCTAATATTTCTATCATCTGTGTCAAGAAAATAGAAACTGCCAAAGTGCAAACCATTCAGAAGTAGAGAACTCCTTATTATAAGCTACCTCCTATTTATTAATATTAAATATGATTCTCTTTTGCTTCTTAATTTATTTCTTTAACCATTACATTTCTTGGAAAATCAGCCACAGTGTAGCTCTTTATTATACTATAGGTTGCCCTTGGTGGAAGTGAATGGCATCATGAAATCTAAATGATTTAATGGAAATAAACCCAAAATACCCGAAATCCTGATTAATTGTAATAAATACATCTCTATTTCTCTTTCTCTTTCTGAGACTAACTTACCTCATCTGTAGAATGGGGCTAATAGTAGTAATTACTTTAGAGATCATGTGAGTATTAAATGAGATATAGTGCAGCCAGGGTGCTTAGCTCACTGCCTGGAATATAGCAAGTTCTCCACAAATGTCATCTTCAACTCCTAACTATCCTCGTCATCCTCAAATATGAGAGGAAATGTCCACCAGTACCTCTGACAGGATCCACTTCAAATAGACAGTAAAGTATCGCAGGCCTACTAATAGTGCCAAGCTGAATGTTTCATCACTGAAACCGAAATGGCTCACACTGTCAGATATGGTATTGTTGACTGAATCACTTAGCTGGAAGAGGTGGGCCAAATGTAAAATGATATATGCATAGGTACCGTGTCACCATGTTTAAATGTTAGCAAATCCTTCTGGTCTTAGCAGTTTTATATTTCACACTCACTTTGTTTTCTGACTAGACACAATTGCTGCACGTAGAGGACAAGAAGTGATGCCTCTAACTTAAAATAGTCAATTATTTATTAGCTGTCTTTACCAAGCCACTTCAGAGAAAGAAAAGCAGTTTGTGGTTAACTATCAAGAATAAAATCTGGATTTTCACAACTAAGTAGTGAATCTGGCTCTCTAAACATCATTAAAATGCCATATAATTCTATGGTGTATGCATATAGAGACATATTTCTTTCATCTTTACAATTATATGTCATAAAATCGTGATAGAGCTTCACTGGCTCATACTATAAAGGCAAATATGCCTATAAATGATCCTAATAAATATGTCAAAATGGGAATCTTGGCAGTTACTTCTGTAGGAGCAGTTATAACCTCTCTTTCTTTTTCTCCTTCACAGTTTTTTTTTTTCCAGGAAGTAGTTAGGAAGCTTGTCCTGAATCGTGTGGCCAAAGCTAGATAAATAGGTAAAACAGTCAAATTACGGCTTCTGGACCCTAAACTGCTCATATTCTGACTGTCAGTGAAGCCTTGGGGTGATACAGAATGAGTCAGAGATCTAAAGCAACGTTTTGTGAATTTCAGAGTGGCAATTTTGTTTGTTTTTGACAATATGGCATAGATCACACTTCACCGAAGGGAAAAAGAAAAGTCAGAATGTACTAAAGTCTTACAGTATAATTTATTGTACTCTGTGTTTGTCTTAAAAAATAAATATTTTTCTATCTTTGTAACAGGAAATAGTGAAAAAATACTTTGATGACTCTTCATGTACATGTCGAGCCAGTGTTCCTAGAGTTATGACTCTCCTAATAAAAAAAAAAAAACTCTCCTTTGCTCTTCAAACTGATAAAAGTGAAGCATAAAGACTAGTAGACTGGTATTACGAAATATTCTAAAATATTCTGTTTTCTTGATATAGCCATCATTCGAAGCAGAAATTTACCTAAAAACTTATCATTTGCAGTTATCAACATAGTTTCTAGGTAGTGCGAAATCAGGAACTAGTGAAGAGATAAAAGAATTTCCCTCAAATTCCAAATTGCTTCTAACCTCTTTTTTGTATGCATGCACTTAATTCTCAGAGAAACTTCCAGTAGAGGCCAAGCTGCCATGGTACAAACAAGCTCAAGAGCTAGAAGAAGGAGCTGCTGTGTCAGAAGAGCCCTCGTAAGTTCTAAAACCACAAGACGCTTTGCTTTTCAAACTGACTGGGCTTAAGAATGTAGTCTCTCACTGAATGTGGCTTCCCTGGGTTTTGAACTGGGTATAATACTTTTGCCAAGGGTCAAATGAGCCTTTCAGGCTGTCAAAGTAGAGATTTTTCAGTTTCAAAGTGTTTCTCAAAACATTTGATTGCATGTTTGCTCTCTAAATACTTTTTGGTTTTAAAGTAAGAAAATGAAGGGAAAGTGCCTACCCTCTTCTCCAAAATCTGACCTCCTCTTTTCCAAGAGGCTAAAGGTGAGAAGGCCCAGACTCCCTCTGATGATATAATACAGATTTGATGTGAAAGTCTGGGCAGTTTTTCACATTCCTTATATCCTTATATTGCTTTGCAATACAGCCACACACAAAAAGTAAAGCATAGGTAAAATATATCTGAGGGCAAAAGAAGATATTAGCTTTTCTTTTCCCTTTCTTGCTGCGATTGAGATCAGATGGATACTAATCATTACCCCACTTGATCACAGTCCCTCTGCTCAGTTTTATCAAGGCCATGAAGTTTGTAAGACCACCAGGCACGGGTTTTCCAGATGCTTCAGAAGAGGAAACAAGGATTAAAGACAATCATGGATTAGACTGATTGATTAATTAGTAACTATATCCTTAGTACTAGAAAACACTGATAGGTATATCTGCTGCATCATTTTTAAAAATAAGGGAAAGCACCTTAATGATCTATTTCATTTGTGATCAAAGCAGTTTCTCAGAGTGATGATTTTCTGGGTTAATTTAATTTGTTAAATAGAAGCCCTAGGCTCTATATTGGTGCATTAGACACATCCCCACCCTCCAGGAGCTCAGAGTATAGCATGTACATATGAAATGGTTTCCAAATTCAACCATAGTTTAAATTTTACTATTGATATAAATTAACATTGTAGTCTATAGATTCAAAAGCAATATATAATTTTCTCAGATCCATCCTGTTTGAATCTAAATCTGACATGGTGTGCCAGAGCACAAACTGTGACCCCTAATCACACCGTAAACAGCAGAAGATTGAAAAAAAATTTTTTAAATACAGATTGGTATGACCAAAGTTCATTTGTAAAGAAATGAAATTTGTTTTTCAGTCACTTGGTTTCACATTAGGCAGTGCACTTCTGACTTTAAAGGACAATAAGCAAAACATAAATTATTTTTGTACTATAAAGTTACTAGAGTATCTTTTTTCCACTTTTTTTGAGAAATGACTTTTTAAAGAAGCAATTAGCCATTGCAGAACTTTGGAGGAAAGATAGTGTTTAAATATCACAGTGCAACCTTTACATGAGTATATAAAGACTTAAAGCTTTCTGTTTGTCTCCTGCCAGTACCTGGCTGGACAGGCCTTCTTGCTTCTGGAGAGGAAGTAAGGAATTTATTTTAGAGGGGATTAACTCTTTAACTACTAAGGTTCCATTTAAGACACAGAAAGATGCTGTATAATTGGAGCTGGTTGTTCCTTATATGTATTCTTAGGTTAGGTACATTTAAAGCCAGGCATCTATTATTTTATTAAACAAACTCTGCTCTCTGGTGCACAGTGTTTTGTCATTTGGTCTAAAGCATAACCCTACATACCGTATTGCATTATAACCGATGTTAAATAATAAAGTTGAAATTAAATCAAAACATTTTACATCAATAATTTAACATCTTTCCCATTATTAGATATCTCTGAAATGAAAGTATTAAGTGGAGTTTAATGCCCGTGTTAAAGGATTACATAGACCATGGTTAACTATGTTTTCTAACGAGTGTCTTGCAGTAAAGGTCTAAGATGCATTATGTTTCACTTTAATCTTAATAAAATCCCTAAAGTAGTTAACCACATAGTTTTCACCATTGAAACTATAGCCATATATTAGATTATTAAATTTTACTCTTGGTGTAATGGAATTGCCATCTTGGCATGATTAATCTGAATTGAAGTAGATCGTAATTGGAGCACTGGTGCTGGGTAAAGGAAATGTATACTATTATGCTCAGAACAATAATTACTTTTATACCAAAATGAAATAAGTGACAGCTGTAGAATAATGTAATGAAAGGTATATGGTTTCCACATCTTAATACACTTTACATCTTTAGTGCACTGAACCCTAGGAAAGGTCCTACATGTCACATTATTTTTTTATTGATTTTGAATTTAAAAAACATAATTTTGCATGGTCTTAATTCTTTCTTTTTTAAACCACATAGACTAGTTTCTAAATGTATGTAGCAACCTATAATTACTCTCCATAGTATAATGAAAAAATGATATACTGTCAGCAAGTCTTTCCTTCCCCCCAACCGAAGAGACTCACATTGCTTAAGTTAAATGGTAATGTTTAGAAGCTGTGGCCATCACTTCTGAACTGCTCAGAGAAGCATGAAGAGTGGTCTAGAACTATTATCTCTCACTTTGGCCCCAGCTAATGTAGAGAGTTTTGTAGTAAAAACAGTAAATATCATTTATTTCCCCTTATATAAAAGTATTATCAACAGCCTGTCTCATTAAATAATATAGGAAAACCAGTAGCTTAAAGTCTTTAGCATATGGAGCTACTGTTATTGAATATTAGATGCTTGTGGTAACCCCAAAATGAAAAAAAATAATAATAATCGGTTAGCTCTCTGGCCAAAGATATGGTGGAAAGTAACCTCTCTAACATATGTTTAGAAAAAAACTCTGATTAAAAAGTAAACACTGAACCTCCAAGAAATAACTAAAACTTTATAGAACAGAAGCATGTACCAGTATGGCTGTGCCAGTGAGCTTTCAAATGCCGTGCAGAAGATACACATGCTGGTATCAGTCACATAGAATACCTGAAATAAGTATCACAATTAGGTCACCTTATGGGAATGCCCTTCATATATTGAACTCATTCTATAAAGCTGTAGCTTTATTCAGAAATCCTCTTAGACGTTGTTGTTGTTTTTTTTCTAGCAACAGACAGGTTTATTTATGATGTATTTGATTCATATGGTGCAAAGGTAGGAATTTTGTGATGAATATATTTTCGTGGTATTAAAAAAAGTATCTCCTAACCCACTTCTAACCCACTTGGGAGAGTCATACCCTCTAAGTGGCCATGGTTTGTCTTGATCCAGGCACATGTTTTTATCAGATTTTTCTGACAACCAGCAGCAAGAATCTGTAAGCAAGGTATCTTTGTCTCTCCTCATTGAACAGGACAGTGTGAACAAGATCCAGCCATGTACTAAGTCATGTGGGGCTTTAGCCAGTAAAGCTGATCAAGCACAGACAATCTTATAAATAAATACAGTAAGGGTGAACATGCCTCTGAGGATGCTTGCTCAGATCATAGAAATCCCTGCTACTCAATTAACACAGAAGGCATTATGGTTAGGGAGAGACTTCTAAAAATAATAAGATTCTGGTCTGAATTGCATTTTTGTGAGGCTAAGAGCAATGCCATTCCAGCACCAGGAAGGGACAGATGGAAAAATGACTGATGGAATTCTCTTTTGCTGTTATGTGAAGTGTCCTTTTGAATTTGCCTCCACCTGATGAGAGTGTCATTTAGGATTCATCATTTATTTTATTTTTCTTAAGTTTCATAAGTTATGAATTTTCTTTTATCATTTTCTTTTATTTTTTACAATGCTATATTAGTTTCAGGTGTATAATAGTTTCAGGTTATATTAGTTTCAGCAGTTCAACACTTCCATACAACACCCAGTGCTCATTACAAGTGCACTCCTTCATCCTCATCACCTATCTCACCCATCCTTCCACCGACCTCCCCTCTGGGAACCATCAGTTTGTTCTCTGTAATTAAGGGTCTGTTTCTTGATTTATCTGGGATTGAAAATGTCAGACTGAGCCCAGTTGGTTGCTTCCCTGTATATCCCCAGATATATAAGAATAGCTTTCTAGGTATTTTTTAAGCCCTCAGAATTTTACTTTTATTTGGTAAGGGATCAGAACTACAATGTGGTAGTATGATTATGTTCAGTAATCAGGTGGAAGCTAAGTAAATTACTGACTTGATTTCCCATCTCCTATATATAGCTTATTTTCAGTCTCTGTTGAGTTATACCCAGAAACATGACAACCACCTCAAGCCAAGTACACATAGTGACCACTTTGACAGCTTAATTTCTTGAACCAAAACGATACTACACTGTCCTCTAAGACACATAAAGGTAGCACCGTCTACTGTTGCTATTCAGGAGGTTAATCAGTTGGCCTGCCTAATGAGCCTGACCTAACTTGGAATAGGAAGGAAAAGGAAATTGTTCATTTCCTTAACTCCTTCAGGCCACTAAGAGGCCACTCAATGCTCTGGAAGGTGTAATCTTTTCAGGGAGACGGGCATAAGAAAAAGCTATGGCCTAGATGCTCCAGAAGCTCTGCCTCTCTCTTTTTAGACTTTCTGCTCTCTGAACCAAGTCATTCCAGAAAGAGGAAGGAAGAACTAATTGGGTACCTAGGGAAACCAGTTTTCTCCCAGATTTATTTCAGTTGCCAAGAGTTGTACTTGGATGGCTCTGAGCAAGCACTAGGAGACAGGTGATTAGTTTTGACACTAGGTGACCAACACAGCTATTTTAACCAGCCAACCTTCCTGCAGACATTGGTGCATACCAGGTGGACAACCTTGATGGTGCCATCCTCTCAAAAGCAGGATTGGGTGGTCCTCTATGTCTTGATCTTGCCCTTAAAAATTCTTGGGTTAGGGATCCCTGGGTGGCGCAGCGGTTTGGCGCTTGCCTTTGGCCCAGGGCGCGATCCTGAAGACCCGGGATCGAATCCCACGTCAGGCTCCCGGTGCATGGAACCTGCTTCTCCCTCTGCCTGTGTCTCTGCCTCTCTCTCTCTATCTCTCTGTGACTATCATAAATAAATAAAAATTTAAAAAAAAAATTCTTGGGTTATCTCATCAGCTATTCAGTTAACAGCTTTATTGCATGGTTAAGAAAACATTTTTGTGCTTCAGCACAATAGT